CCATTCTGCATTGCAGCAATGCAGAAGGGCACCCTCTATAGAGGACTACAAATCTCAGCAGTACTTTATACAGCATTGCCATTTTTCCAACTTTTTTTTTTTTTATGTGGTTGCTACAGGGGATGTGGGTTGGGGGGTTTGTGTTTTCTTTGGCGGGGTGCGGGGGGGGCCCGAAAAAAAATCTTGCACCAGGCCCCTTTGTTCCCTAGGTCCGCCATTGAAAATAGACATTGGTTCCCATAAACGCACCCACATAAAAGTTTTTGTCAAAATGTTTATTGTGCCTAAGGGTTAATTCAGACCATAACTGCATGCATCTGCGCAGCTGCAGTGCGATGCGTTTTGCTGTGTTTTTTTTAACTGTGATTTTGACACTTTTTTAGCTTAAAATGGGCTTTCAGGTTCAGTCCAGTGCATTTGCATGCGTTTTTGATGTGTTTTGATGCGTTCCGTTACGATCAAGTGCAGCTAAAATGAGACAAGCAGTATTTTTTCTGACTGCATCGGAACGGACTGCACTGGTGTGAACAGAGCACCAGAAATCTCATTGGCAAGCATCATGACACGATTTTGATGCAGCTGCCAAACTGAACAGACTGCATCACAACTGAATCTGGTGTGAACTGGCTCCAAAGCAGTATCCTGAACAATGTATTTTGTCCTGAGATAATCTAAGTGTAGCGCTCACCCTCTAAGGAGCTGCTGGTTGAATTGTGCCCCCTTAGGGTACACAGTTTCTTTGCTGCCCCAAGGCACTTACCATCCCACCAGTGGTGACCGATAAACTGACTTCCATGCTGATGATCTTTTGTTTGCAGAAACTTTACTGAACAACTTCGGGAGAGAGGGTTAGGACACATGACACCCATGACCTTGCAGACTCCAACATTAGAAAACAAAGTATTAACTGCCTTCACAGATAAGGACCTTTAAGCCAACCTGGCAGTCTGGGAAATTACCTCCTGGCTGTAAGATACTAGATGTTGCACTTACCAATTCAATGGGGAGAAATCACCATGCTTTAGTAAAGGACTGAACTTCTCAGGCTAACTATTCCAGCTGAAGTTCCTTCATGGCATCTCCATCCCAGGCTTCAATCACTAGATCTCAGTTCAAGCACATGGTCACCCACCCCAGGCAGTAGGCCTAGGAGGATCAGACAATCCACAGCATCCCTCCCCCAGGCAGCAGCCACCAAGTAGTAGTTAATGGGTAATTCCACTTTTCCAGGTGAATTTGGTAAAAATTAATGAATGAATGAATAATTACCCCCACCAATCTCCCCCCCCGCTATATACTTACCTTTTAACGAACACTCCTTCCCCTCCGCCAGTGCTGGTGTCTGCGCTGACCAATGAGTACTCGTCATTTGCAAGCGAAATTCAAAATACAGAGCTCAGGGTTGTACTACATGGCAGTATGGGGTACAGACAGTATACCAGCAGAGGAAAAAGAGCATTCGCTGTAAAGTAAGTATAAAGGGGGGAGAAGAGGGGGCCAGCTTGGAAGAGGTAATCCAATTTTTCTTGGATTCACCTGGGAAAGTGGAATAATCCTTCAGCACTCAAACTTTTTAAAATAATGAATCTAGATCAAAGAGATATACATTTTTGCCCAAACACTTACAGTCATCATATTTGCAAACAGTTCCATCTCTCTCAGCCCGGCTTCCCTGAACTTCCTGTCAAGTACAAGTTTACAAGGCATGGAGAGGGGAGAAGCAAAGAGGAAGGGGTAACAGGGAGGAGGGGAGTGTCTTGACTTGCTGTGTTTGTGGAGACACACACAGCTTACCAGCACACATAAGGGTGGCTCCATAGGACCCAGCAAGCAAAAGGAGCCACCCCGAAACAGGATATCAGGGCCAGTGCTCAGGGGACCAGCTGATTCTGGAAGAATTTAAAACCTTTAAACATTACGAAGCAGCATCCATTGTAAGTGATTTAAAGGAGAACTATGGGGTCAGGGCTTTTCCCCATAGTTCTCCTTAGGGTAACAGGAGGACACAAACTAGCGTCCTCCCGTTACCCTAAGCTCAGTATACCGCTAGCTACAGCTCGCGGTATACTGAGGCGCCGGAATGGATCCCGACATCGATGTCGAGATCCGCCCAGCTGCGTGAGTGACAGCTGGCTCTGCCTATCTAGAGGCAGAGCCAGCTGTACCCGCCCCCTCCCCCGTCCATTCCGCCAGTCAGCGCTGGCAGATCGGAGCGGGGAGAGGGGAATCCTGCCCCTCCACTGTCACACCAGAGAGCCGTGACAGGATCGAGAGGTGAGCAAACGTCGGTATCTGTTCGCTCACCTCCCGATCTACTGAGCCGACCTGTGACAGTCTCATTGTCACAGGTCGGCTAGAACTATGAGGTGAGTGAGAAGCACTCACCTCATAGTTCTTCTTTAATCCGCATTTGAAAAAGCTTAAAAACCTTTTGACTTTAATATCTATTGCAGCTCTCTGTTTCATCAGAATTTGACATGCCTGGAGTAACACTTTAATATAAATGAAGAATAATGTCCCTTCATTCTGAGAACGTATAAACTGCCTGAGTTTATTTAGCTCACGATTTTGGGATTTGTTGGTGCTCAGTATGTGATAAATATTCCATGTATTGCAGGGCATCTTACTGTTGCATCTCATTTTTTTTTTTTCTTAAGAGGAACTGGACCACTAACTAGAGACAACAAGTGAGTGTTCAGGAAACAAAATGCATGGCTACCTAATGGGGACACATACAAACAATAGAAGGAGAGGGGAGAAAAGGACAGAAGGCCAATAAATAGCAGGAGTGTGAAAGCAGCCAGTTAATCCACTGCCTCAGCAGGGCTTGCTGAACGAAGGATTCCTTTCAAGCCAAAATGAATACGTTTTTCACAGTATCACCTAGCAACTCTTAGGCCCCATGGTTGTGCCTATAGAGCAAGATGAGAGTAGGTGGAGATCAGAAAGGGGGGAAAAAAGCCTGTGTCCCGACAAAATCTAGTGTGTTAACTCTTTAAACACCATAAAGACTGAACAGTGTCCTACTGAACAGCCTACTGAACAGCTTTCCAATTGCAGCTTCATTCCCTTTATGAACCTCCTTCATAAACATAATCTCTACAAAGAAATCTGAACAGTCACATTTTCTTCTCACATTAAAGTGACCCTGTCACCGACTTATGCGCCTTTCCAGCGGCCGTGTTTCCCAGCTACTGCAAGCATTCGGTCGTCAGATGAGTTAAATTACAGGGTCACTTAAAAAAAAAGTCCACCTGTATAAGAAATATTTACTTACCTTTGCAGTGGCCAATGTAAGGGAAAGCCACCGGTTCACTGGTCCTGAACTGTTGCAAGCATTTGACCATCAGACGAGTCAAATGTTTGCTCCCCCTTTCAATTCAGTTCATTTATGAAGCTTCACTCCTGGCGGTACTAAACCTTCAAATGATAGGTGGGTGCTCGAAGTGATGGCGTGCCAATACTAGATCAAGGGATACAAAGTCACCGGCACTCCAGACATATGTTTTACGTGTCTGGAGTGCTTGTGTCTTTGTATCCCTTGCTCCCCCTTCTGGCCGCTGCGGTGGCAAGAACAAACTGGCGACTCATCTAATGGAAAGGTCAGGCCGCAATAAAGGTAAGTAAATAAGCACTTCTTTTACAGGTGGGTTCTTTCGTAAAAGTGACTCTGTTGTGACAGGGTCACTTTAAAGGAAACCGATGCTCAGAGAAATATGGAGGCTGCCATTTCTGACTTCTCACTGAAAATGCCAGTTTCCTGTCATGCTGATTTATTGATGCTGGTGCTTTCTGGGTCACTGATTTCTGAGTTACTGCTTTCTGAGTGACTGACCAAGTTTGCAGCAAGTGAAGTGAAAAAGAAGTTATTTAATACAGTCGGCTCCACCTCTGTGCTCCCAGCGGGGCTGGATGTACTCTCTCTGCTGCCCCAAGCCCCCCCCCCCCATGGAGAATGGTAGACCTGCCGGCTGCATACAAGTGATCTTGGCGACATCGCCGAGATCACTTGTACGAAACAAGCAGCGGCTTCCACTCTGTACATTTGCCCATAGCAGGGCAAAGTGTGGAAAACAACTACCCGCATGTCCCGGGCATCGGGAGATAGGAACTCCAAACCCCTGCTGCACCTCTACTCCCTGCTGCCCCAAGGCAGGACCTTGGTTGGCATTGTGGGAAATCCGGCCCTGGCTCCCAGCCTATGACTGGACAGTAAAAGAGCAGCAGCAGGCTGATGAGATCAGCGGATCACCCTCTCCTCCTATCAGCACACAATGGGCATGCATAAAAGTCCAGCGTATAGTCAGGCAGATGATGTTTGCATGGCACTAGCGCCCCTCGATGGCGCTGGGAGGAATAGGAATTCCCATACTTCTCAGCGTCATCTATGGGTGCTTTTGTCTTGCAAACAGCATCCACCAGGATATACGCCGGATGGAACTTTTATAATATAATTTTATACATGAAGCCTCTTATATTGCTGCTCCCAGCCTACTGTGAAGGAACTACAAGAATCAAGTTGAAATAAGGTACTTACACATTTGAAAAATTACTTTTAACAATTTTTAATGAACACATAACTTTATTAATTGGTGTTGTTTTTATAGCTGCCTGGAGATCGTCGTTCAATTCCTTCTAAAGTCATATCTATCAATCCTTGAAATGACTTGCAAGTCCCAAATGCTGTCACCCACTTTCCTTCTAATACGTGCAAGAAACGTTTTATTGTGTCCAGCAAACCCCAACTTTTCTCATCAAAAAAACACAAAGAGAAATGACGGATCGCAAAGATTATTCATCTCGCTGAAAAAATTAAATCTCAGTCACTGAGAGATCTTTCCTTTAACTTAACTTTTCTGTAATTTTTTGATTGTTGAAGAAAATCACCACTGAGGACATCCAAAAGACCAATGGGAACTTGAAGCACTGGTGGTGATCAGACCGTGGACCACAGGAGATCCGGCCACTGAGGCTCTCATACAAAAGACACTAAAATTGGACTATGTCCGCTGATAAAGTTTCATGATATTTTCATGGTGCAGCTGTGCCCACAGGTCTTTTTCCAAAAGAAAATCATGATTGGAGTACAAAATTATCTTAGTTTTGTCCTTGTCGTAGTAATGATCAGAGTAATTTCTGTAATCATGAGTCATAAAGCCATAGGCACTGACCTGAAAATCCAGAACACACAGGTTAAAATGAATATTACATTAAAGCAAAAGGTCAGGTATTTTAACCTCTTCCCTGCGGGGACTATCTCCTGTTTTCCACCTCAGGTGGACGGACCATTTTTGCTATTTTTTTACATACACATTACAAACTTAAAGTTTGCGAGATACACCCTTCTTAACCCTTTTTCTGCCATAGTTGTTATTGCAGGCTTTTCATAGTAACATAGTATATAAGGTTGAATAAAGACCAAGGTCTTTATTCATCCAGGTCAATCTATGTATATGAGTGTGTGTTTATTTATCTTACTCTAACACTTCCCATATCCCTGTAGATTCTGCAAAAGAAGAAACTCATCCAGAAGTTTTTGAATTTATCAATGTTATCTGCAGATACCACCGCCTGTGGGAGGGTATTCCAAACTTTCACCACTCTCACAGAGAAATACCCCTTGCTAATTATAAGATTGAACCCCATCTCTTCTAACCTTCTGTTGTGTCCCCGGGTTCTCAATACAGTTTTGGGATTAAAAAGTTTGTTCCCAATATTGGGGTCCCCATTGATGATTTTGAAGACTGCAATAAGGTCCCCTCTTAATCGCCTCTTTTCTAAGGTGAATAGGTTTAGATTTTGAATGCGGTCTTCATAACTCAGGCCTTCAATCCCTTTAATTAATTTTGTAGCCCTTCTCTGAACTCTCTCCAGTTCCAGGACGTCCCTTTTGAGAGTTGGCGACCGGAACTGTACCGCATACTCAAGATGGGGCCGATAAAGTGGAAGTATTACTCTTTGATCCCTTGCTACAATTCCTCTTTTAATATACGCCAGTATATGGTTAGCTTTGCTGGCTGCTGCTTGGCATTGCTTAGTTTTGCCAAATCTGAGATCTATGAGCACTCCCAGGTCTTTTTCTATGTCTACCCCCCAAGTAGTAGTCCGCGCACATGTTCTTTACTCCCATGTGCATAACTTTACTTTTTCAACATTAAATTGCATTTACCATCGTGTATCCCATGCCTCAATTTTGCTTAGGTCCTGTTGTAGTGCGAATATCTCTTGTTAGGAATTTACTGCTCTGCAGAGTTTACTATCATCCGCAAAAACTGAAACTGAGCTTATTTAGTCCTATCTCTATGCCGTTGATAAATAAGATTAACAGGATTGGTCCCAGGACTGAAACCTGGGCACCCCACCTTTGCCCAACCTCACCTTTGACCCTCTGGGTCCATTCTTCCAGCCAATGTTTCCACCCATGTACTTATAATTTCATCTAGACCTAAAGACCTTAGTTTATGGGTAAACATTTGTAGGGTACTGTGTCGAACGCTTTAGCAAAGTCCAGTTACACCACATCCACTGGTATTCCTTTGTCTAATGTAGTACTTACTTCCTCATAAAATGTTAATAGATTGGTGTGGCAAAAATGGTCCTTCATGAAACCAGTGAGATCTCACCTCCAGCACCTAATTTGGTCTTTTCCCAGTGAGGGCGGGGGCTGCATTTATTAATTGTGTCCCGCAGCAAAGCAATACCAACCGTGAACAATGATATTTATTCCACGCTTGCAGCCTGAGTCATACATTCCAAAAGTAGTCAATAATTTTTTATTAGGGGCATATTTATAAGGCAGTAAATGACTTTCAACAAACATTAACTGGTGGTAAATCAACCACTGCCATTGAAACACATGCACCTGAAAGATTCACATGCAGTGAATAGTGAATGTCAAATTCACTGTTTATTAATATGCTCCTAATTGCATTTAGCCACCTCTCTTGGATAGAGTAGGGAACAGTTAGAAACTTAGGTGTGCAGTCAAGTTTTTATTGCTGCTTGTGTCCCTGCTAGGTAGATTTTCCCTCTCTATTTTCTCAAAGCTTTTTGCAGCAGGTGGTAAGGGCCCTGCATTGTATGATGCTGTCGAAGGGTTGCGTCAGTCATAGGGCGGTCGTGGTCTTACAAAGGGGAGGAAACATGTGGTAGTGAGGTATAAGGGTATTAATATACAGTAAGTATTATTCCTATTACATAGACACA